GGCTCAATATAGGTAGAAATTCGATAAATTAATAATTCGATAACTCAATGAATATTCCCAGTTCTAGATTGTTTTTATATAACTAATATCTTTATAAATTAATAAATATATAAATTAATAAGATATTATAAATTTTGGTCTAAGGTTTAATAACTTCCTTTTTCTCCTTTTCAAACGCACAGGCTAAAAAAGTACCATTATCAACTACTATATGAATGAGAGCTCATTACGTAAGCACGACCTGTATACCTTAAATCTCCTTTTAATGTTGATTTAACATTGATTAAATAATATGAAATTGGACTGATTGTGAAGTTATGATCATTGACAGCAATAGATACCTACCAAAACAAGTTTTCTTAATTGAGGGAGAAGATAGTCTAAAGATTCTTAGTAACAAGCACATAAGTTCGAACTAATGTTACCTAATCATATATTTTATTTATTTATTTGGTTTGATGTTAAGTTTATATTATAGTAGTAGTTTATTGCTTTTGTAGTGAGGGGTTTAAGCAGTCATAGACTCATAGTCCCTTTTTTCAACACTCTTAGTTAAGCTTTAAATATCATCTCTTACCATCTCTATTCTCTCAGGATGGTACCTCGTATGATGATTTAAGTTTTGTCAATAGTGGTTCGTTAGGGAGAAAAAAAAAACAGAGAGATAAACATTGGGGAATTATTTATTATGACAGCTAAATGGGCCAGTGCTTTCAAGAGAAAATATAATTTTCACTAATTAGGATAATTATTTGTGGTTTAGCAAAAATAAGATATGTCCAACAAATGACGTCGTCAACAATATTTCACACACATACATAAATCGATTTTTAGGATAACATTTTGTTTTCAATTGCATAAACTCGGATAAATGTTTAAAATGCTCTAAAATTTAATTTTAGAATTTTGCTCTGGAAATAGAATCAGTAGCAATAGTCATCACAGCGTGACTTCTTGAATGTTGAAATTTAGTACGAATATGATCAATATGTAGACATCTGTTACATCATTTACAATATTTCTAAAGACAATCAACCTTTGACTATAGAAACTAAAAAAAAACAGTTCCATATAGTACTAGTTTTTTTTTCGCACGCCAATTCTATAGTAATAGTTTAAGAAAGAATTTAACTGAACTATAAATCATTTTTATGTCGAGGAATGTGGTTGCAAGGTAAAGTTTTACACCGAGACAAGAGCCATATTGTCACTGCTTTATGTATTTTATAACTCAACCCGATGTTGGAATATGCTCATTTCTAGGATTAAAGTACCAATACTTTGCGTTTGTTTATACATTAAATTAAAAATATTGTATATATTTGTAAAGCACCAGACCGAATCTCTACGCAATATAGTACTATCGTATGATATGTAACCAACAATCTTGAAGTCGTCCATCAAAACATTCAAAATGCGAATGAATAAGTAGTGATTAGTAGTTTTTTTTCTTCTTTTTACAATTAAGTAATTTGTAGTTGTAAGCTTAACAATTCAGAGAAACAAAAACTGATTGTTCTCGTTGGTTATCGGAAGAAATTAAACTACATACGTCGATAATAATAATATTTGATTGTAATATTAGATTGTTATACATAACTGAGAATATTGGTCATAAATCAAACCAATATTCAAGAGGCTTGAAAGACACGGAATCTCATAGAACATATCAGTGATTTGATTGTTAATGAACAACTTAAATTAAAAAGACTACAAATTTGAACAAAAAAGCGAGTTCGTCCTAGCAACAGTTTTCTTCCAGGCCCCGGAGTTCGAGGTAGCCACCGTCGAGACCTAAGATGAGATCTTATCTGAAGAGGAGTTTCTTGGATTGTTTCCTGTACTAGTCGACTGTACTACACAGACTACTACAATTCACAAGCGTGGATTGGGCTAGAAAAAGGAAAGAGATATTTACTTGGAGGAAAGGAGAAATATATTCAGAGAATATATTTTTAGAGAAAAANAAGGAAANGATATCTACAAGGAAGGAAATAATCTTTAGGGTTAAGGAGTTGCTCTTTATAAGTATATATAGAGAGGCACGGTGGCTGAGTTTCTTTCACGCCTCTGATAAGAAAAATACAGAGAGATTGATTGAGAGAAGGCGTCGTCT